AACCCCAAGGTGTAATCTTGGAATCCTATGTCACCGCCGGTGACGACTGGTGCATGGACGATGGAATCTACGAGTTTACCATGGGAGCTACAGGTGCGGTGGTCAAGGCTCGCTACTCTTTTGTCTACGCCAAGGAGGGAGATGAATGGAAGATTGTCCATCACCATTCGTCTCAAATGCCGGAAGAAGTCGTCGCAAAGGCTTCCATCAAGAAAGAGGAAGTGGTCTTGGCAGCTTAAAAAAACAAAGCCTACTTGATCCCCACCCCCCCCACACACACCGTTGCTAACGGCGGATCCGAGCTTTCCATATTCGTCGACCTATTGTATTACAGCATGTAGAGAGTACTCCTACTAATACGTTAAATATCATTTTAATTTTAGATGGCATGCAGCCAGCATTCACACCTTGGCAACTTGCTTCTTTCGATTAAGATCAAGGATCCACGTGTTCACTGCAGGATAAGATAACACCCATTGCAACTTTGACACTTCACTCACAGTGGTATCACCTTCGGATCCATTGCAGCCTTCTGCTTCCAAGGATTGGTAAAAGTGATGGCAACGTTCGCATCGCCACAAACTTCATGAACATGTTGTCTAGTATGCAAAAGGATCCTGGCGTTGTACTGTAGCTTGGAAGAGAAGGCACGCAGAGACTACGAACCCACCAGGGCATAAAGGAGCATTGTGCAGCGTCGTCATCACGAAGCAAAGCGTAGGCGCAGGAAAGAAAAGCCAAGTCTTCATTGCATTTCTTGTCCGTTAGATTTAAAACACTACTGTAGCGACATTATCATAGTCCTACCTGTGTTCATATGTATGTATATATAACGTAATATCAATATGTACACCTGCTGTACGGTATTACGAAAATACATGTCTGAGAATACATGGAAGAGGGTACAGATCCGGCCAAATGAATCATGTGAATGGAAACATCGGAAGAACTGTGACCAATGAAGGGAACCAGAAACGACAAATTGCCAAAATCCGAACCGCAACC